CCAACCTTGTGGTTATGTGGTTAGCAGCACAACAGTTACTCCACCCCAGCACCAGGGCTCCTAAAACCAAATCAAATCAAACCCACTGCCTTCGAGTAGATTCTGACTCATAGCGATCCTTTGTGGGCATTCTTTGGCTGTGAATACTGACTGTGGCAGGCAGCCCTACCTTTCTCCAACTGTGCTCCTTGTGGGAAGGTGCCTGGTAGTGGGGTTTCACTCCCAGGGGTCCTCTGTGTGGCAGAAGGAAGCACTACGTGGTCGTGTACCACTGTTGTAGTCACGGTGTCATTGCAACTCCTTGAGGGGCTTCCTCTCTCCCACTGTCCCTCCACTTCTCCAGCAGGACGTCTTTTGCCAGATACTGGTCTCTTCCGGTAAAATGTCTGAAGTACATGAGCTGCAGTCTCACATTCTGGCTGCACTTGTGCCATGATTGATTGATTTATCCTCTGACAATGCCTGGTACATTCAGTGTTCTTCCCCAGTTCCCCAGGTCAAACAGGCTCATCCTTCTGGATGAGACTTTCTCATGTCTACCTGTCACATGCAGATGAAGGCACTGAAGACAGTATGGCTCAGGTTCTTCAACATGTTGAAGAGGTCTGTGCAGCAGACCAGCCCAGTGTCATGTGTCTTTTGCTTTCTTCGCCCTGCCCCCCACAGTTCTGTTGGCATAAAATTCACAGATCACACACTTTGATAGTTCGGTCGCATCAAGAAGAGTTGGATAAGCATCACCACCATCAGTTTTAGAGCAGTTCCTTGGTTTTTGTTCTCATCTTTATTAGCTCCCCATTTCCCCCATCCTCTCCTGCCATGCCCCCAAGGAACTATTAATCCAGTTTTTCTCTCCATAGATTTGCTTGTACTGAATTTCATATACAGACAAACATTAAGAAACAAACAAAAACTAAGAAGAATAACAATGAAACAAAAACTTCAATCAAAAACAAAGCATAACATATTAAAAACTAGCACACATTTAAATGGATCCTAAGGGAGATCAAATGATAGGGT